TGTCAAAATTGCATCTTCCCTTAAAAAAAACCAGCTACTTGTAAACAATAATTAATTATAAATAAAAATGTCTTAGAAGTACCAAATACCAATATTTATCTGAATTGAAAAATACATCTGTCCCTTGCTAATTATTATTGAAGGCCAGAAAATCTAAAATCTATTAATCGTTATTTCGATAGACTTAATATTTTTTTGTAATTTGGATGATGGTTGCCGATTCAGTGCAACAATTTCAATCGTAACATGTAATATTATCGCTGATTTGACTGAATGGCTGAAGGAGCCGAGGAGAATTGGCCGCGTATTAAAAACTATTGAAACTGGGATCACCAATTGTATGGAGTATAATAGTTTTTAAATATTCATTTCAAACGGGCTGAAATTATTGTAGCTTTAGGATTGACTTTTTTTTTATTCCAGTATTAACAACTTATATGAGGAACCTCAAGTATATCAAATTTCAGAGTTTTTTCGCCAAGCAAAAAATTTGTATGCCATTATAATTTTTTGCGTAGGTTCCCAACCAGATATTATATTATATATGTCCAGGACTCTCCTTTGAAATGTCAACGTTCAGCATTTTTTAATGTATTTCTAATAATTTTAAATCGCTATAAGAAAATCTTATGAGAAATCAAGCATGTGTGAAAAAACATACCATGACTATTCTGGAGTTCAGCATACAGTCTTGTCTGTACTATGATGCCACAATACACTAGGTAGGTAAACTAAGTTATAAGTAGGTTGAGATTCGAATGCTTCGGCCGTTAATGTCGATAACACATCCTAAAATCATTAAAACAATTTCTTTATGTACCTATATATGAATTGTATTTGTTTGAAATGACATATTTTAGTTTTTTACGCTTACTTGGAGGTTTATCTGGAAAAAATTACATTTTGTACATTTTCTTGCTTGCTAATCGACAATTGTTCAAGATAAGCCTTATAAGAAAATCAAAAGAATGTCAAAACTTGGAAATTTCACATTCTCGGAGTAAAATATTATGTGTAATATAATATACATAAATAATTCGAATAACTGTTTTTATCCATAGCAATAATGTACCTATCAAACATATTATTTAAACACGAGGACACCATATAATATTATTATGAAATAAAATAGTAAATAAATTTAATAAAATAAAATATATCTTAATTTTTAATAATTGTTTTACCCGTTAAATTAAATACCAAGAAGAAACTAATATATAGTAATATAGTAGATCAAATAATAAAATAAAAATGTGATTTCCTATTACTTATTACTAATAAGTTATTAGTTATTAAAAATATTTATTACCAAAAACAATATATGTACCTATCTGGCTATCTAAATATTAAATATAATAATAATCAATTGTGCAATTAACGTATTACGTATACCTACGTCAATACGACAATACCGACGTACAGTGTAATGACTAATGAGTAGTGTTTGAAGTATGAGAAATATTTCATGAAATATTTCAAATGAAATATTTCATTTTGAAATATTTCACTAAGTTGTGAAATATTTCACAAAAACGTGAAACATTGAAATTTTTTTAACACAAATAAAAACACAATTTATTTATTTTTTTGACACAATGCTCAGTGTTCTAAATTCTAATGTCAGAATTCAGTAAGTATACAATATACATGTATAATATTGTATACCTACTTGTATCATTTAAACATTAAAATATTTAAAAATTTTGAATACCAATTTAAATGTATAATACCAAAGGTTAGGTATACATACAGACCATACAGTTACCATATAGTGATGAAGGTAATTTATGACAATTATATGTAAATATAAACTTATTTAAAAATAAAACAAAATATATTAAAATACTGAAATATTTCACGAAATATTTCATTTTTTTAAATTTCATGAAATTTTCAAACACTACTAATGAGTAAACTGCAGTTACGTAGACTCGTTGTACACCCAATCTAAAATAAATACCTCTATAGGGAATAATCTATATATATAAAATCCAAATACCACTCACTCACTCATCATCGCTAAATCTCAAAAACTACAAAACTTATAAACCTAGGTGGCCCCCTGCAATTTGGAATAGTGGTTCCTCTAATGCTCTAGAAATGAAATAGGTAATAGAAATTATTTCCGACAGTACCTATACTTAATAGGTACGCAGTTTAAACAATAGTAGCCAACCAGGGATTTTGAGATTCACGGTGGAAATTGAAATTTTTTTTATAAATGATTGCCATTGCAGTATTACTCAGACAGATATGCATATAATATATGTACCTACCTATGCTTAACATTTTCGCTCTTATGGCCTCCAATAAAGAAACTAGGTATATCTTAAAACCGAATCCATGTGCGCAGCTTGTCTGCTTGTATGCTCAAAAACTAGGTACTCAATTTAATTCAGAATTTGAAGACAATCTTACAGATTGTTTTTAGAAATTTCTAGGTGAAATAAGAAAGATGAATAGGCCGTTTAAACAATATCAAAAATTATAGCAAGTAGCAACTAGCAAGTGCTAAATTCAATCCGCGACTTGCGGTTGCCCGTCTAGGTAGAATTATTTCACAGAGATAAGTACACTGACGCCGATTTGTCTTTGAATTGAGGAAACTACACTAAAACTGAGATCCACTCAAACCAAGATATAGAGTAGGTATATTATGATTTATGGTATAATGTTATGTAGGGTATGCCACAAAAAAAAACTGCACTCTGGTGAAGCTATAGTGATTCTATAATAATTGTAATACTTACATAATTTATAGATTTATTAATATTTTTAATAGCATAATAACTAAAATTGATTGAGGTAAAAATGGAATTGTTACAGAATAACCAATTTCAACAAAATTAGAACTTTAAATGTCTATAAAAACGTATTGTAAATTAATTTTTATGTATTTAGAATGCTCTAAGAATATAACTTATGAAGAGTATAGGTACTGAGTAATTGTAACGCTTTCAAGTTTAAGCTATAATATAGGTAGGTAATGATTGAAAATTGTATACGTTTTTAACGCTAATAATGCCATATTTACAAATGCTCGTGATACCTATTGTCAAAATTTTAACTTCAAACAATTAGGTATAAAAAAAATTGTGTTTTTGTATTTTTTGATATTTTTAGATTTCTATATTAAAAATACAACACATGATAAACCTAGGTAGTATATAATAATAGGTATACATATTGGCTATTCGAATGGGATGTTATATTTTTTTTTTATTAAAATTTAATTACAACCTATACCTACCTACACATTTGGTTCAATAAGTAATTTTGATTAAAGATAATATATTATACAAAGCGAGACTAACAGATATTTTGTTAGGGCACTCAGCAGTGCCACACGACAGATTAAATTAGGAGATCTCTAGGCCAGGATCGTTTAAGACGGCTCTGGGGGTTATCAGGGATTGTAAAAGAAGATATAGTCGTTTTATTAATGGATTGTTGTGATGGATTAACTATTAGAGTAAAAGGAGACGTAGTGAGACTTGGTTAGTTGTGAGAGCGATGGAATATTTAGGTCTTATCTTATGGAGATTATTATTTGTGATGTACCATGGAGCAGAGACAATTTGCCGCAGACGGATTGACTGGAGTGCCATATTATATTTTAAAAATCATTTTTATGAGCGTTTAAAGTTAAAGTTTTTACTACATTGGATATTCACTCGATTTCTCATGGAGTGATTTTCTTCTTTTGCAGTGTTGGGTAGTAACCTAACGAAAGTAATGCCTTACTTTACTTGAACGCGTTACGTAATTTCATTAGAATTATTTCCAAGTAGGTAACGAAAATGTAATGATAATTACTTTTGAAAAGTAATTTCTATAGAATAACGCGTTTCAGTTTGGAATTCCGAATTACCTAGAACCTACCTATTGAAAATTGAAAAAAAAATCGTCTATTATGCGGGTATCGGGGTATTATTATGTTTACGAATCTAATAGGTACGTTTATTTAATTTTAACTCTCCACAATTCAATTTTCAACTGTTTTGACATTTGAAATATCTAATTATTGCACCGTACAGCACGAGAACAGTTAATTCAATTTATTATTTAATTTGATTCCTTTAAATAGGTTTCCTATGAATATAGCTTGTTGGAAAGACTACATTTTATATGATCCTATTAACTATACAGGTTTTATAAAAAATTTGATTGTTTAATTTGCCTGCAGAAGATATATCTTCTATAAAAATTTCTTGGAAATTATAATTTCCAAGATATTTTTTTAGTTTTGTAGCAAGAAAGTAATGGGTTGCTTTTCAATTTGAAAAGTAAAGTAATTTCATTACAATTTTATTTGAGTAACGAGTAACTTAATTACTTTTTAAAAGTAACTTACTTAACTAACTTTTCAAAAACGAATAACCATAAATACTTGAAATTTACACCATATGTTTATTTTGGTTCTACGTCACTTTATACGGTCAAGCATTAAAAGTGCCAAACGCGGACATTTTGTACGGTCAGGTAAAGAGGCACCTACACTGTAGAACGCGGACACTTTTTACCATTATATAAATAAAGTATATATTATAAATATAAGCTATATACCTAATAAAAGTAATATATAATAATATATAATATAAATGATTTAAATAGAAAATTTAAAAATAAAAACTAAATTGTTATAAAATATTCTTTATTAGTAACAATCAAAATGATCAAACAATCAATAATAAGATTATAAACCTTAATTGTATTATATTATCAAAAGTTATGTTTAAGTAATTTAAAAATATGTACAATATTATAATAATCTCAAAATGACAAAATGACAAATAAAATATAATACAGAAAAAATCTTTAAAAACTACATATATAGTATACCTATTATGGAAATATCTCAAAATCACAAATAGAATATAATATTACATTTATTATATTCACAATAAATACCTTATGTATATAATAAAACAAAGTAGAGAGCTATATAAGAAACAATAGATTACTAATAACAATATTTAATATGAATAATGAATTTTATATCAAATTTTTCTTTTCTTTTGAGTAGCAGTACCATACATAGTTGTTTTAAATGTTTCTAACAACTTTGATTGATCCTCTAGTTGTTGTTTAAAATTTTCATTTGTCTGTTCTCGATATTTAACAAACTGCTCATTTGCTCTTTTTAAACGGTCATTTTCCTTTCTCAATGCTTCATTTTCCATTTGTAATGACTGCAAATAAAAATAAATTAGTGTATGTCATAGTACAAAGAAAACACAATTAAATGTATTGTTTCATAAATACTACCGTCTACCAAATCACATAGGTAGTTAGCTTAATATTTTATTTTATGATCATACTTACAGACTGAAATAACTGCGTATTTTCATCAGTTGTATTTTCAAATTCATTTGGTCCAACACTCAATGTAGTATCATCAGGTATCTAAAACATTCAACAATTAATTCAATAGATAATATTTTATTAATGGCAGTTTATAATAAAAATGTATGTGCTATATTTTTGTACATAATTCAAGTTGACAAAGTTGAATTAAAAATTCATACTTACAGACGGCAATGACTGCATACTTGCACCAGTTGTATTTTCAATTTCATTTGGTTGAACATCCAAAGGAGGATCAAGTATCTAAAACAATAAACTATTTACTCAGTAAATAATTAAAAATATTATTTTATTATTATTTGAAGGGTGTCTGTAACATACCTACATAATACTACATATTTGCTTAATTAAATTAAATTAATATTTAACTAATAATTGTGTCTAAAATTACTAAATTAATTTAAAAAATAATATAAAGGGAATTAAAAGGTTGCTTTAGCTGGTACTAAATTATTATACATTTTTATTCTTCACTGAGTAAATACACATTTTCAATTGTGTTGATGGTCCAAAATCATAGAGTAATAATACAGAATACATTATTTGGTACATTTAATTCTTGACAAGAAGGAAAACAATTTAATATAATTTAATGTATTTTGTATAATGCACACCTTGTATTTGGATTTTCTTTTTGTCATCACCCTCTTCGGTGGATTTGGAACATTAAAAATTGTAGGAATCGCGTCCCATTTTAATTTAATCCAGCCATCCATCCGTTTTCTTTCGAATTGGTTCTCTTCAAAATGAACCTGGTATTTAAAAAAAATACATTAATGGCAGCAATAACTGATAAATCAAAATAATGAATTAAAACATACATATTGAAGTATATTAATTTCAAACCTTGATAAATCATAAAAATGCAGGTAGTGTATTTATTAATTTAAGTGTGCCTACATTTGTTAATTATTTGAAACTATGATAATGTTAATAATTTTTAGGCTAATTCGGTAGGTTTGTATGAAAATCTACTGTAAGAAACTACGTTTCTATATTTTTGTGTTACTCTAATAATTTTAATAAACAGAAGTACCTATTTAATCACTATTGAATATCAAATAATACTTACTTCACACAGACGAGAAGTTTCTCTAGGTTGCCATTGAGTTCTTCTGGTATTATTTATCCAAATTTGTCTGCGTTCAAGTTGTGCCGGAAATCTGAATAGACGTACACCCTGACCACTTCGATTCGTGCAATTTACGGCAGAACAAGACATTTTAATATAATATTAAGAAGACGTAGGGAAATTAATTACATAAAATTAAATGCGTAGGTACGTGGCTAAATAACTTATTTAGCCATGCCCATGCGTAGGTAGGTACCTATTATATAATTTATGTTGTTCTGTGATTTTGGCGGTATTTTACTGTTATCTAGAATATTTTATTGCAAACAAAATGGCGGATGCGCATACTCAGCCTTAGTTGGTCACGGACTAAGATATAATGGACTGGAAACGAGCAGCTTATCATGGCCACGAATGTATGTACAAGAGGCAAAGTGCGGGGGGTCGCTATCTGTTCTTGGAGTTCACAGCGCCCTCTGTATTTAACACGGACTAAGATACAAATTGTGTAGCCAAATAAAACCACCGGTAGCGCTGAACACTTCAAGAACAGTATTCTTATCAGCTAAGTGACATCTTTTCGTGGCCGTCCCCCGATCCCCGCCGACCATGTCGTTTCCAGTCCATTATATCTTAGTCCGTGGCCTTAGTACAAAGTGTCCGCGTTCTGCAATCTACCTTTTTACCTGACAGTACAAAAGGTCCGAGTAAAGGTTCTTTCACACACGTCCGATCCGAATCCGATCAGGGTCCGTTCCGTCATGGCATAAACACAGTATTTTTATAGTTATATTATTTTCAAATTTGGACGAAGTTACATAAGTACCTGTTAAATAACCAAAAATAATGATTAAGTAATTATGTTGTAATTTAAAAATTCACACTTGAAATTTTCCCCAAACATTTAAATTAGTATTTTCCGAGGTATTTTCCATATATTATTATGGTAACATTTTCGAAACATTTAACTCTGTTTGAGCTATATTTTTATGCTTTAGCCTTGAGATATTTTTCGAATTATGAAAAAAAAAATTTAATTATTAACGTTAAAAACTTTTTTTACCTGAATGTAAAATTAATTTTATAGAACGGTTTGAATTAAAAATGTTGAATATATTTGATATTCAGCAGTAAATTAACGAATTCCAATTACCTAATAGATTTTTGACATTTTGTTGTACCTAATTCAAAAACAAATAACTGAAGTCACTCGAAATTTTCACCAAAAACTTATATTGGCATTTTCCATACATGGTAAATTTTTCTAAATATTTTGACTCTTTTTGTGCTATCAAGCTTTTCATAGGTGATAACCATGAGACATTTTTAAGTTTTATAAGTTGCCATTTAGAAAATAAAAAACAGATTTATGAAATTATGCGATATCACATTTTATTAGGTACATTTTTGTGGTATACCCATGGCCCTTAATTATATTGGATAATTTAATATTTAGATAAGTCTTATAGTACCTATATTATTAATTTATAATTATTTATTTATTTATCATTTATAGTTCATAGTTCATATGTGTGATCTTAGGGCTTAGATCAGTGGTCTCAAACTCAAATTATCAATGGGCCATATATTTGAGGGCAATACACCTTTTTTTTTATACATCTTAATACTAAAATAAACATTATAATGAAGATTATTTCTTCTATTGATTTTAATTATTATAATATAACTGTATTTAATACTAGGTATTACAAAGATATACAAATTGATTTTTTTTTTAGTAATTATTTATTTTTACTTTCAAAATGTTTGGCTTAAATCATAATATAATACATTATGTATAATACCCATGATTTAAGATATACAGTTTACTCAACACAGCATTAATTGCCTGTGCATGCCCAGTGTTTATCCATGATTACAAACTGCGAGTAGCTCAACTAGAGCCCAAGTGGAAATTAATGTAGTTAAGCAATGTAGGTAAATTTTCATGAGACATTTTTTTTTTCAATATAATACATATAATAATGCACACTGAGAGCGCTAGCTGTGCTCTTTCCTATGGTGAACAGCTGATTTTTTGGAATAAACTGAAAGCATAACTCAGGAGACCAATTTCTATACGGCGTTGAGTAACCCGAATATTTTAAATTACGATATTAACTAATATATGAACACATATTATAGATTGATTTTGATTTATATACACATGTAAATAAAATTATTTAATTTATATAATTCATATACTTTAAAAAAAAAAAAAAAAAAACAAATTTCCATTAAATCGTAGTAGTAGCTTCTGCCTTTTTTCTTTTTCGCTCTTGAATTCTTTGACCTCTTTTACGAATTTTAGCTAAATCCTTCTTATATTTTTTATGCACAGATTTCAACTTTTTAATCATAGCTTGTAAGTGAACTACTCGCTGTGATGAAGTCATTTCTGGAATTAAAATGTAAAAGTTTCATGTTGATGTAATGAAAGATTATAATTTTTATTACATAATAGGTAATAGGTATTTATAAATTATATGTCAGTAATGTCCACTCATACATGCTTTTACCCAATCTAGTAAAATTTATCATTCAGATTTAAACATACTGTCATAAATTATATATAAAGAAAAAATTTAACTTATGCACCTGGAAGCACTCCATCATAATACTCATTCTCAAGCCAAACAAACCTCCTGAAAATCCTGCATCATACAGACCGATAAGTCTTCTCCCTACTTTCTCTAAAATCGTCGAAAAAATACTCTTAAAAAGACTCATCCCCCTTGCCACTGCAGCTAATATCATTCCTCACACCCAATTCGGGTTCAGAGCCCATCACTCGACTATCCACCAACTTCATCGCACTGTCGATAAAATCTCCAACGCGCTGGAGAAAAAAGAATTCTGCCCCACTGTGTTTCTGGACGTCTCACAGGCCTTTGATCGGGTCTGGCATGAAGGGTTACTCTTCAAACTAAAAAAGTTTCTTCCAGCACCATATTTCTTATTAATAAAATCATACCTATCTGACCGTTCCTTTAAGGTTCGTATAAAAAATAGTTATTCATCCAGCTATCGTATCTTAGCTGGTGTCCCACAAGGTAGCGACATCGCTCCCTTTCTCTATTCAGTATTCACCCACGACATCCCAAAAACATCCTTCACTTTCCTTGGTACATATGCCGACGACACTCTAATTTCAGCGTCACATCAGGATTCCTCAACTGCTTGTCGGATGATCCAAAGTCACCTAAATATGATTAACTTATGGACAAAACGGTGGAAAATAAAAATCAATGAAAACAAGTCTACTTATGTAACTTTTACATTGCGCAATTCTGATTGCCCATCTGTCACATTTAATAACAAAATAATTCCTTCATCAGATGTAGTAAAGTACCTAGGATTAGTATTTGACAAACGCCTTACCTGGAGCTCGCATCTAAAACAAAAACGCAAATCTGTGAATTCTAGACCGCATCTTCTGAGACCCCTATTAAAATCGAAACTTTCTCAAAGAAAATGGCCAAGAGACCTGCTCAATGCTTAAAAAAGATAAACTAACGAAAAACTATTAAAAAAAAAAACCTAATTTCTAGTCAGGTGGTACACTGCTGGGAGCCTTAATATTATGTTATTTATGTCTAATGTTCCTATGTCACCACACTTACTCATTATATCTCGTCTGTTGTATAGATTGTAAATATTCAGTTAAAATAAAATTAAAAAAAAAAAAAAAACTTTTCTATAGAATTCATTCAATGGTTTTCCATCTTTCGTAAGTATTGAATTTTCTTTTTAGCTAGTTTTTCATCATGACATACAACTTATTTAATTTAATATATAGAGATATAAACATAACATGCATTAGTACATCATTGCAGACATATTTAAATAACATTTACTTTAATTTAAAGTGAACAAACATTTTAAAAAGTAGAAGAAGAATTATATTTAATTAAAAGATTTATTTTTAAAACTAATTACCTCGATATATTTCAGAATTTGAAAATTCTGGTATAGTCTCTTCACGAAATAGTAATCTATTAACAACAGAATCTGGATCGTAAACACTTTTGACAGCTTGTCTAGCTCCAGAGAAACTGGTTATTGATGGTTCCTTTTTTTGCTAAAAAAAATATTAAGATTGTTAGTCGGTAGTAGGATTTATGCTATTTGTCTTAATAATATGAATAATATAATAATAATATAATATGTATGTACATTAAGTTTCAATAAACCCAATACCAATTCTAAAAACTATATGTTAATATTGAAAAAAAGTTGTTTCTCAAAACTGTATTGAAAATATTAAAACTCTAAGTTGGTATATCACTAGTGTCGATATACTGATAGAGTAATAATGTTTTTTTTCTTTATTATATATATTTGAATACAATTATAAAATTTAACCATTTTAAAATGATTAAAATAATAATATATTATCATTGTTTATAATTCATAGCATATATACTCATGTAGTGTACCATTTTAGATTCTGAGTGGAACGATGACTATATTGATTTTACAATGATGTGTTTTTTTTTTTTTTGTGTGTGTCTGTCATCATCTTTTAGGACAGTGAAAGTGCTTGGATTTTCTTCAACAGTATCTTTTCTGAAAGGAAAGTGAATCTAGTTGGTACTTTGGGGGGTCAAAAGTAATTTTTCCAGTAGTTTTCAAACGTGCCGTCAAATATTGACAAAATACGTAAAAATTTCCAAATTATTTTGAATTAAAATTCATAAAAAATTTTCTTTTTAAATCTAAGATTCCCTCCTCGAAAAATGGTATAAGGAGTGGGGTGTGAAAATAAACGAATCTAAATCTATACAATGTACCTTCACTCTTAGGAAGGGAATATGCCCATCTATTACCTTAAATGAGCAAATCTTGCCAACCGCGCAGAGCACTCGCTATCTAGGCATAATCATTGATCAACGCCTCACATGGTCTCCTCATCTTCGCAGCAAACTGCTATCCTTAAACAATCGATTTCGTCTTCTCCGCTCTCTCCTAACCTCCAAACACATAAAACTACCAACCAAGCTTCTAATATATAAACTTTATCTTAAACCAATGTGGACGTACGGAATTCAATTATGGGGCTCTGCAAAAATTTCAAACACTAACCGTATCCAACGCTTCCAATCCAAAACGCTCCGAGCCATAACTAAAGCACCATTCTACGTGTCCAACCAGACCTTACATAACGATCTTGCCATCTCACCCGTCTGTGATGTAGCTAGAACTTTTTATAGACGATTTAACTTATCTGTTAAAAACCATGATAATCCCCTAATTAAAGGACTTGCGTCGGCAAACATACCCGATAATCCTAGGAAAAGACTAAAAAGGCGGTGGTGTCGGGACCTATTAATTTAGTTAATTACCTAATCTTTTTCTATTTATAAATAATTGTTAACTTATTTAAATGTATATAAACAGCTGACAAAGTGTCTTCACTGGAAGGCTTCTTAAATCCGTCCTTTCCTCAAGCCACTTCATTCAATTATCTATTTTACTTATTGTTCATATTTTTATTGTAACAGATTGTAAATAAAAATTATAAAAATAAAAAAAAAAAAAAAAAAAAAAATCTAAGATTTGAAAATGTAATACAAGATTCCTCATACATTTGTCTACCTTTATCAAAAAAAGAATATCTACAAGAAAGTCAAATTAAATTTTTATGATTGTTTGAAATTCATATTTTTACAACATTTGATATTCACTCGATTTGTCATGTAACAATTTACTTATTTTGTTGTAATTAAAAAACAAATGACTGTAGATACTTGAAAATTTCACTGAATGTTTATATTAGCATTTTCTATACACCATAAAAATTTTAAAATAATTTGACTCTCTTTAAGATGTTTACAGACATTGTCAGTTTTAAATTATTTTAGTTTTTTTTTCTATAAATATCAATAAAATTTTATTTGTTGGATAAACAAGCATGAACATTTAATGCAAGGCTCCTGATATGTTGTTACAATAGCAGTTGAAAAATATTAAAAATACATACCTAGGCACAATTTTTTTTTATAAGCATTTAAAGTTTGAATTTCGACAAAATTTATCTAATTTAAAATGTAATAATTATTTTGTAGTTAAAAATTTATAAAATGTTCATCTTTTATAGCTAAAGATTGAAGAATTGAAACATTTATCCACGTAAATAGGTAAATATATAAATTACTTTATTCACAATAATATCATCAAATAATAAATATACTTTGTAATATCAGGCTGAGTGGCCATTTTTTTTTTTCTATGAATGTCAATAAAACATTATTTGTTTTCAACTTTTATAGCTAAGGATTGAAAATTTAATACAAGATTCCACGTAAATATTATATAAATTACTTTATTCGAATACACTGGTGATGGGATTAAATCATTTGAAGTTGCTTTCTAATTAGTATCATCAAATATACTTCGTAATATCATAGGCTGACTGCCTAACCGTTTTCTCTCAGAATCGTTTTTCTTATACAATGATATTATATCATTGAATTCAAATTTAATACCATCCATTATACAGTGACCCACTTTTAAAATACTGTACAGCAGAGCACCTTTTTATAATATGTATTTGAATAACTTACTTTTATATCATAAGTTGTGGCTTGTTCGTCTACATGGTATACGTTATCTCCAACAACCACTGGCGAGTCTTTATCAAATGGCACAACTTCAATGTTACTAAATTAATAAAAAATAATAACAATATTAAATAATATGACTTATATTTCCTCTGTCCAGTGATATAACACTGAGTAGGCCGATCAAAATCCATTTTTCTAAGCAAAACCCTGTTATAGAGAAACCGGTTACGAAAGCAGGGCTATGCAGAATCTCCGGTTTCAATCACTGGACAGATTATAGATTTATATGAAATTTATAAACATACACAGGTGATGGGATTAAATCATTTGAAGTTGCTTTCTCCTCTTTATCTGTCAAATTGTTTAAAACTGATATTAATGCTGATACTCCTGATTTAGTAGTTGCAACTTCTTTGGTTTTTGATTGCGAATGCTAAAATAGGTAATAAACAAAACATTACTTTTTGAAAACATATTAAATTAGTATAAATAGCTATATCAAGATTTTATTTTCAATATTTTAATACATTTATCAATAATAAGAAAAATATCCAACAACTACTAAAATTGAATTAAATTAAATATACAGTAGTCACTCGATAATTCAAAAATTAGGGGACTGAGTTTAAAATTCGATTTATTGAGGTATTCAATTTACCGAGTGTTTGAATAATCGAGGGAAAACAAATTAATTCAAATTAAAGAGAGGTGAAAAATTTTATGTGTATATTACATTTATTTAGACATGTATTTATTATCATACATATAAAAGTTTAGATTAGGTATAGGTAAAGTACGATAAATTTAATAATATACTCCTTCTAAATAACTAACATTAACAAAACCTTAATATTAAAAATCAGTTACTAAAATATAGTTTTAAAATAAAATGATTTTTAAAAAACTTTTTAATATAAAAGACATAACCTAAAAATGTAAATTTATTAAAATTATTTTACATCAACCATTTTCTATTAAATACTTTTACAATTATTATACATACATCAAAACGTGAATTCCATCCTTTATAATTTATAAAATATTTCATGGCCCGTTCGAATCCATTCTTGTCAATAAACTAAAAATGTATAGCATTTTTTTAGTCATTTCATTATTTTAAATAATACATATCGTAACATAGGTAATATACTTATTTACATATAAAAATTTTAAGGTTATGATGAAATTTAATTAAAACTCAAATTTAACCTAAGAACAAAACATTAATTTAAGATTAAAACTGGTAAGAATGTGAAACACACTTGATAAATATGATAATTTTAAAGATAATTAAAATATAGACAATTAATTTTTGATTCAGATTTGATTACAATTAGAACAATTTATTTTAAATATTTAAAAAAAAGCACTAATTTATTTATACATAATATATTTTAAAAGTTACTAGCTGATAACGTGCACTTTGTTACCTGTTAAATGTACCAACTCTATATGACTCATAATTTATTCAATTTTTTATTTAATATTCGGTGTATGGTGTTCAAAATTTATCTTAACTTTTCTGTTGCCAGGAATAAAAATTTTGATTCGCAGCATTATATTACCAGGGCAATCTACCTGCAGTAGATCGCGGACCCCGTGCTGTTTGTACGTAAGTGTATGATTTAACTCTAAAGTATCAAAGTTATACCAAGTTTGTGGTTTTTATTTAATTCCACGTACAGTGGATTAATATAATCAATTAATACAAAATTCTTATCTAACCTAACCATACTAAAATCTGATGAATAAAAAAAAGCCAAATTATCCTGTTTTTAAATTTGCCTATCTTCTTCCCACAAACATTAATTTATGTAATTTATTATATTAAACCTAACCTAACCAATAGCAACCAATATATAATACACTATAATTATTAGTTTAAACTGCACTAATAAATTTTTATTTTATAATTTAATAATTTTTTTTTTGGACAGACCAGAGGCCAGAATGGCGCCACTGGTGTATTTTTAACATCCAGATTTCCTACTTTTCCTAAAACTTTCTTTCATAGAATCCTGCTCCGTGATATACTCTTTCATTTTAAAAAAAAATCCTTACCCTGTACAAAGATTTTCATTTTACATTTGTATAGTTGGATAGAATAATCTGTTAAATAATTACAAACTATTAATAGGTAATTATTTCGTTTACCTATACTCAGTTTTTAACGAAAGAAAGCACAGATTCTGTGCATCCCCCCCCAAGTCACACTGCTATTGAAACCAGTTCTCCTATGGCAGGATGTTGCGTGCGAGAACCAGGTGTGTTCTCTAGCTGAACAGAGTATATATAGTTGGTTTATAATGATAATAATAATATTATAATATTGTTTCTTTGGCTTGGTTGTAATATTGTGTTATACACATATTGTTATAACATTGACTATACTATAAAAAAATAAATATATTTTTATATGTATTTGAATAACTTACTTGTAAATCACAAGTTGTGTCGCAAATCACTGGCGAGTCTTTATCAAATGGCACAACTTCAATATTACTAAATTAACAAAAAATAATACCAATATTAAATAATATGACTTATATTTCCTCTGTCCAGCGACATAACACTGAGTGGGCCGATCAAAATCCATTTTTCTGAGCAACACCCTGCTATAGGGAAACCAGTTTCGATAGCAGGGAGATGCAGAATCTGTGATTTCAAACACTGGACAGATCATAGATTTATATGAAATTTATAAACATACACAGGTGATGGGATTAAATCATTTGAAGTTGCTTTCTCCTCTTTATCTGTGAAATTGTTTAAAACTGAAATTAATACTGATACTCCTGATTTAGTTGTTGCAACTTCTTTGGTTTTTGATTGCGTATTCTAAAATAGATAATAAAACAAAACATTACTTTTTGAAAACATATTATATTAGTATAAATAGCTATGTCAAGATTTTATTTTCAATACTAAACTACATTTATCAACTATATGAAAAGTATCAAGTAACTAGTAAAATTGAATTAAATTTATACAGTGACCCACTTGTAAAATACTGTACAGCAGAGCACCTTTTTATAATATGTATTTGAATAACTTACTTTTATAACATAAGTTGTGGCTTGTTCGTCTTCATGGTATACGTTATCTCCAACAACCACTGGCGAGTCTTTATCAAATGGCACAACTTCAATGTTACTAAATTAATAAAAAATAATACCAATATTAAATAATATGACTTATATTTCCTCTGTCCAGTGATATAACACTGAGTGGGCCGATCAAAATCCATTTTTCTAAGCAAAACCCTGTTATAAAGAAACCGGTTACGAAAGCAGGGCTATGCAGAATCTCCGGTTTCAATCACTGGACAGATTATAGATTTATATGAAATTTATAAACATACACAGGTGATGGGATTAAATCATTTGAAGTTGCTTTCTCCTCTTTATCTGTCAAATTGTTTAAAACTGATATTAATGCTGATACTCCTGATTTAGTAATTGCAACTTCTTTGGTTTTTGATTGCGAATGCTAAAATAGGTAATAAAACAAAACATTACTTTTTGAAAACATATTAAATTAGTATAAATAGCTATGTCAAGATTTTATTTTCAATACTAAACTACATTTATCAACTATATGAAAAGTATCAAGTAACTAGTAAAATTGAATTAAATTAAATATATTGAGTTATAAAGTGAAGTAAATTACCACATTAATCGAACATCATAGATTTAATTTAATTGTAACTGCAATAATAATAGATGTATCCAGTATTTTTGTATAATGAAATAACAACATTTAACTTTGATCAATCAATAATAAGTCATCATTGTTAAAAACCAAGTTTAAAATTAAGAATTTTACTTATGAGGACGTTATACCGACATTTGTTGTCTTCCTCTTACAAGTGTGTAACATGGCAAATTGTATGCTCTGCAGACACGTTTAGCTTTGATAGTTTAAAATTTTGAGTAAATTTCTTTCTAATATTTCTTACTGCCATAACAATTATTAGGCAATACCTACTAATTTAAACTCCTGATAAACTTAACACATTCACTGCGTCAAATAATTATTTGGGACACGTTAGATGCGTCACAAAATATATCGATGTTCGCTAGAAGCGTGCCACCAATTAGGAAATTTTAATTAGTGTCGGAAAAATCAACAAAATAAGTTATTTATAAATGGATTGGACTGAAATAACAAGAAATTTCTATGCAGAGGCGTGTGTAAAAAAAAAACATTACTCTAGTGCGTCTCTATTTTATAGCACATTTAATTCAACGGACATGATGTCGGCTATATCCGACAGGTGAACCGTGAAAAAATCGGTCCGTCGGATATAGCTGACAAACGAAGCAAATGTGTTAAGTAATAAAAAGCATAAACAAGATATTAAACAAATTTTACTTTTTGTATTTCATCACGTTTTCCTTTATTTAAAGTATCTTGCTCGGTTTTAGACTTTTTTAAAGGAGTCATTCCTTCAACAAAAGTTTCAATTTGTTCTTTAAGAGCTCTCTTTTTTCTCGTACCTGGTAACTCAAAATCCACAGATTTTACTGTTACAGCTTTCTCTTTTTTAGTAGTATTTTCCCTCTGACGACTAAACATAGTACATACAAGTTTTCAATAAAAATCCCCAAACTATGTAAATATCTGTAATGCAACACAATAAAATTATTAATTATATTCAAAATATATAAAAATAAAACGTTAGGTTTAGCGCCCTCTTATAATATATTCAAGTATATTCAAGTATGGATGCATAATAATAATGTAACATAAAATCTAAATGCGAGGAGAAATACAATTCTGAATACCTTCACACCTCCGATGTCCGCTGATTCTTGTCAATAAAAAATACCCATGAACCTTTACAAAAACGAACAGTAGCCGTCTTATTTTAGAAACTAGATACGTACAAGTAACATGAACGCTGGCCAGACGACACGAAAGGTCCGTAGATGATTGTGTCGAGTCGTAAACGATGCAAAACGAGTGCAAAATTGACAGTCCCGGACACGACAGAGATGGAATAGGTAGGTAGCTGTCTCTGTTTGAGATCCACCAAACAGAGAATGAATACCAATCAGAGTCTGATGGATCGACAAAATGTTAATAACAGTAATAATAATAAAAGACAAGCTAACTGGCGCTGTGCATCGTTACCAGTAATTAGTCTGTCGTAGTGAAGTCGTTGATCCACGGCGAAAACTGCAAAGTTTTGATGGCACGTCCGCAATCGAGTAGTCGACAACAGATGAAACGACTAACGCCTCGGTACTTGGTCCTTACGCAAGCCGACCGTCGTTTTTTGCCGTGGAATATTACGCCCGTCGTGTATATAGCTGCTCCGATGTAAACCAACGCGGAATACGCCGTGTACAGCCCCGGCCTTAGAGACTACGGTCTACGACGCACAGATGACGAATGTATGTGGTGCTCAGCGGCCGTTATATTAGTGTGGCGTTATACGACGATCAATTTTGAATTTATTGTTGTTGGCGACCGGCGATTGGCGAAGTGATGTCGAGTTTAATTCTTATCTACCATAACCTATGGATATTGTGGCCGGCAACAGTTTGGTTAAAACTTAAAATAATGTAATCTGTTCTGTGTAGGCACCGCGCACGAACGCAGAGGCAGAGCGCTCTCTGGTTGTTCGCTTAGTTAAAGTAACTTCAACAACCGGCAACTGCTCCACCACCGAGCCCGCCTACCCAGTCAGGACCATGGCATCAATTTTATAGAAAATGCAAATATAAACGACCAGTGAAATTATATTTGCATTTTTGATACACTTTAAAATTTTCAAAATATTTTGATTTTTTTTAACTGTTTAGGGACATTTTTAGTTTCCAATTTTATTCATTTTTTTTTTCTATGAATGTCAATAAAATTTTATTTGTTGAGTAAAAAAGCTTGAAAATTTAATAAGAGGCACCTACCATATTGTTACAATGGCATTTGAAAATTATTGAAAATCCTTAGTCACAGTTTTTTTTATAAGTATTTAAAGTTATATTAACTGATAACTCATATGAAAATAGAGGTCTTCAAAAAAAAAAAAATTGAATCTAACCACATTTACGAGTCATAAATTATGACCCAAAATAAAAGATACCTCACATTTTAAGAAATAACTTTTTGGGGGGTGCAAAAAATGTTGCCTCGGGGTGCAAAATATTCAAATACTGCCCTGGACATCCACTTATAGGTACCCACTTTTTTATTGAACTGAAGCCCGGAGACTATGACCATTGCCCATTACCTGCAGTAGGGGATTATGAACTATAGTTGGTATTTACTTACAGTGGCGCCCAAGATATATTTTTCAGGTGTAGCAAGAAAACATTTTAACCACCCACCCGCCCCTCAAAACTCAAAATGATATTATTTAATAAATTTTATCATATTTGTATTGATAATATTAGTAAATATTAAGGTATCAACCAATATAATCTGTGATTAATTATGAACATATTTCAAGTTTATTATTTTTTGTTATTATACCCAACCACCCCTTATTTTCAAGGGGTAGCGACCGCTACACTTAGAAATAGGGTTGGGCGCACTGGTTGCCGCAGTGGCGCTCAAGATATATTTTTCAGGTGTAACAAGAAAACATTTTACCCACCCACCCGCCCCTCAAAACTCAAAATTATATTATTTAATACATTTTATCATATTTGTATTGATAATATATTAGTAAATATTAAGGTATCAACCAATATAATCTGTGATTAATTATGAACATATTTCAAGTTTATTATTTTTTGTTATTATACCCATCCACCCCTTATTTTCAAGGTGTAGCGACCGCTACACTTAGAAATAGGGTTGGGCGCACTGGTTGGTAAGGTTGGTACATTAAGGTGTTGTTACCATTGTTACGGAAGGTAAGCAAACACGTGTAGGTAGGTATGTGTGGCTACGTTTTTACTACTACGAACCCGGGTGGTCACCCATCCGGGAGCTAGTAGCAGCTGGCGTTACTTACTCTCAGTCACATACCAAGACTGGTAGCATACAACGTGCCAAGAAAAGCCACCTATGATATTTTTAAATCACCTAAAGTCATCTGATATGCCTTAAAATGTTTTTTCATATAATTTATGCATTATAATAATACCTATGTTCTTTTTCTGGTCTTCATAATAATTTATTACGATTAAGCCTTAAAAACTAATTTACGTCTTGTCGTCGACAATATTCTTAATAGGTGTCGTACTACCTTTGTCGAGCATGATGTCTGAGCATAAATTTATCGTGTACATAAATCTAAATGCTCAATTGGTTTAGTGTTATAATATTGTAATGCGAAGGCTCATAAGTAAATATAGTATACCTAATATATACACGAATAAATATTTTGATGATGGGTAAACCGTTGCGTCTACCAAATTGCTTTCGGTATTTAATTTATTCATTTCAAAGAAAGTCTATGTCTACTGAAAGATTTTAAAAATACAAAATAAACTGAATAGCCAACCAGTAGTTTTTGGTACCTATTTAAACAGAATAAAGAGACGTCGCAGAGTTCCCGACGCCAGACGCACTCTATATAATACGATGTCCAACACATAATAATAAAATACATACGTCTTATCAGCCATGAAATCTGTGACTGTAATATTATACATGCTTATACAAGAGCACTATTATAGATGTAGGTATTCTCATCCGCCATTTTGGTTCCAGTTCGACCGCGGACCGTCAGACCACCGGTCCCGACAATTTGACCACGCCGGGCGCGTGAGCCATGGCGGATGAGAACCATGCCTTACTTATACTAGACCCTAGAACCCTACCCAATATGCAACTGATTATATTATATTTAATCAGTGATGATTAAAGAACGGATTGATATGTCGTTACTCATAGACGTGTCTACAGTGTAACTTTTATTTTAACAAAATAATTTCTTTTACTTTTGTATTGTTATAAATAATACTTACTTACAAAATATATATGCTTGACAAAATTAAATACCTACCTATAGAATCTTAATTTTGTTAATAACATGTATTGTCGGGTGAAGCCCGTTATGAACTAACTTCAGACAGAAATATTTTTTACTATTACTATTACTTTTTAATCGTGTATTATATTCGTGTTTTGGAGTAAATAGCCTAACATCTACTTTTAATGTACCTATTTTCAATTACATTTTTATAATAAATAGCTTTTAAATTAGGAATATTAAAATCATTAAATAAATTGATTTTTGAGTAAATTAGTATTCAACCCCGAACTCCTATATAAATGTAAATAGAAAAACGATGTTATCATTTGAATGCTTAACTCCGGAAGTCCGGACTAAATTTCACGTTTTTAATTGATATTAAACAATACAATTTGAATAAGAGAAATTATTATCGAACTCTAAAAAAAAAATAATAATTTATTAAAAATAATTGTACAAATAACAATGTCAATTAAAAATATTTCGAATTGAAAAATAAAATTAAAAAAATTAGGAAATACTATTTAATATAATAATATTATATATTTATATAACAAATTAACTAAATACAATTTTAGATTCTGAGCAGAGCGATGAAGCAAGTGGTTTTACAATGGTGTTTATTTATTATTTTTTTTTTATCCTGTATACGAAATTTCTATCAAAAATAGTGCTTCGATTTCAACATATAGGTAGTACCTTATCTTTCAAATTGTATCAAGATGGTACTTAAGAGAGGTCATTTTTCGATTTTCTCAATAGTTATTTATATTTATGCCACAGGAAAAACTACAGACAAATTACTAAAAACCTCTAAAAATGAGATTTTAATTTCTAACGCTCTGTTTATCACCAAATTATAAAATTATAATATTATAATATTATTCAACTAACGGGCCATAATAAATCATAACAATATAAAAAATCCGTTAACTGACAAACCGTCTCCGCTCAGAATCGTTTTTCTCATACAATGATATTATATCATTGAATTCAAGTTTAATACAATCCATTATACATTGACCCACTTGTAACCTACTGTACATCAGAGTGAAATCCACTTACCAGCTTTTTTTTTAGATTCTGATCGGAACGTTGAATGTGAGATTTAAGAACTGTGATATTTTGTTCTTTCTCAGCTTTCTATTTTGTCTTATTATTTTTAAACACAGCCTATGCATATAGCGATATAATGCTCGAATAATAATTTAACTTAATTCATTTTTATAGTATGAAACGAATATTTATGTTCCGTTACAATAGTACAAGACAATCATATACTACATTTTTTATAGGAATTTACTACTTATATACTAAAAATTCTCAAAAATGTTTCATATTTATTTATTTTGTAATCATGGCGTATTGGTGTGTATTTATTTAAAATTTTAACCCATGCTCTTAAATTTATATTCGAAAATCACATTTATTGCTGTAAACGTGAAAGTGTTAAAACCAAATATTTAACCATATTTAAATTATTTAAAATTTAAGAGTGTAACGAATCCGCGTGAGATAGCAACACTATAATACTTCCAGTTTTATAAATACAAAACAATTTTTTTATTAATGTAAATTTAAAAAAAACTAATAATAATGAAATATTTAATATTCCTATAAATAGCTCAAAAAGTAGCCCAATATTTTGAAAATGTCATGGTGCATATATGTGGTGTCATATTTCTATAGAAATTGCTAATATAAACGTTCAGTGAAAAATTCATGTATCTAAGGTAAATTTCTTAAGAGTTACCTACACCAAAAATCAAAATTATGTCGAAATTGTAATCTACGTTAAATTGTACTAAGTATCCGTGGCGGCATAAGTTTTTGGTAATTTTTTGAATCCAAAATACATTACATACCTAATCACACATTTATAATTTATATTTATTAAAATAAATACTTCTAGCTACAGAAAATATTAATTAAAAGTATATATATATATTAAATCAATTTTCAGTTTTATTTACTGGAAATGGCTGGTATTGGTGCACAATGTTTAAAAAAAATAAAATGATTCTCGTAATTATCACGAAAAAACATTAAAATTACACATTACCTAATACATTATAAAATGTATATAGCTATTAATATTGGTACATATTATTTTACATGGTAGATACCTGCATGTAAACCAACTAGTATACTATATTATACAGGTCAATAAATCACAACTAAAATTGTCGTCACTGATTTATATTTATAACCTACTCATGATTATTGTACTTAGGTAACTACATGCATCGAGATTAAGTCTAGACGAACAAAAAACATTATAAACCCAGTAAACGATGGAGTCAAATTAAATCTATTACGTCTCAAGGTTAAAGATCGGAATTTCGGATTACGATGTAGCCATGTAGGTATATAAATATAATATGTATCTAGGTATATACTTTATTGCAGGTATAAATTTATACCTAACTATGTTAATGGATTTTACTTGTTTGTATACTGTCATACAGGCTGTATCAATAATTCGTTAGTTGTATACTTGTATTTTATAATTTCCCAAAATAAACCAAGATATAATAATATTATTATTACATTACCGTTATTGTGTTATTGTGTGAAGTAGGTAGGGGAGACTGACTTAATATGACATACCACTTTTTAATTTAAAAAAAAGTGAAGGAAATAATGTTAGTTAACACGTGAAACTTGAGCAACATAATTGTATTTATATTATACACATATTTCTGAAGTCTAATTGTACATTTAACACAAACAAATAATTTTAATTCACTTTTTTTTAAATGTACCTACTATGTAATTTTACCCGGAGTGTTAGGTAAAATGACATACACCATATTTGTATAAGCAACCATTGTATACTGGGCATTGGGCAATAGAAATAAATTATAAAATTTTTAGAATTTAATAGTTAAATCAATTTTTTTATTATAAATAACAACACTTTAGAAATATATTTTTACATAATTAATATAATAATATAAATATATGAAATTAATGTAATAATAAACACTGCTATGTCATTTTGCCTGATTTAATACAAGTTTTTTTCAAAGTATTAATGGCAAAAGTATTATAATAAGCTTATTTATAAAACAATTGTAGTATAATAGATTGCCTTTTAATGTTCAACTTCAAATAGAAAAAATTGAAGGAACATAAAGTTTTATATTTTAAAATTAATTTTTAAAAATGATTAAAAAAAACTTTGGTAAGACAAAAAACAAATTTTTGTTATCAAATTCTCTGATAAGGTGAAAACCGGTGATGACTGTATACAATTGTATGT